TCCTTTGGGAATGGGGGAGATGAAGATCCCGTTTGGACTGGCTGAACTCGCTTGTTGTTCTGTGGGCAGCAGAACCACAGAAACCTGGTTTTCTTCAGTTGAGCAGGGGGAGAGGGGAAAGCGTAGAGATGTGGACTCTTTGGTGTCCAGTAAGGGTTGCACTTGCTCTCTGTGTGCCCAGTGTTCACAGGCTGTTGACAGGCAGTTCAATGTGTGTTTCAGCGTCTTGGCAGTCTCTTCCCCTCTCCTAGATTTGGCCAAAGTTGACCAACAGTTCGAAACTGACTTATGGGACAGACCAGCTGCAAAGAGTTTGGTCTCCCAAGGTCTACTTAAGAAGCCAGGCTAAACGCCTCTCTGCAGAGGCCTCTACACCTACGTATGGCTCTGTAACCCTGCCTTGGGCCTTCCTGCATTTGCCATGAGGGCCCATGGTAAGCAGGAGCTTACAGGGGTGCCAGAACTGCTTGTTCTGTCCCCCGCTGGAGATATGGAAAAGCCTTTCCTCCTCGAGGACAACTGTCTGTGCCTCATTCACTCTGTCAGGAGGCTTCTGCTGTAAGATATGTCAAAATACCAGGTGAGGCTGCTCTTTGTCAGTGCCTCCCCACTGGCTTCCAAGGGCTGCTTCGCCTGCTGGGGCTGGGCCCCATGCATTTGGTTACAAACAGTATCTTTGCACGGCCCGCAGGCAGTGCTGAGCCGGCTGGCAAGCACCTTTGCATGTGGCACTGGCAGCGAAGCTCCCTGTCCCGCATGACCCATCTGGTTAGAAGTGGAGGACTGAGCATCATCTCAGGTGGCATCTGTTTGAGATGAGCCTCAATGAACAATTCCACTACAAGACAAGCCAAGACGCTCCGACACATCCTCTCCTGGGCTAAGCTCAGGAGTTCAAACCTCACTTGTCTGTAACATGGTGATTTTTTTCCCAGATAAAAATACCAGGTCTGCAGTCAGGTGGAAGAGGCCTGCTTGCTTGCTGTGCTCATGCTGCGATGCCATGCTGACTTTGAGCGGAGAGGCTGGCCTGCAGAAGACCAAGGCACAAGGGCCCACCTAATTTGCAGGGCTTTATTTTGATCTTGGACTTCTTAGGTTTGTTTGAGGCTTGTTTGTTGAGATTTTTCTCTTTTAGAGGAAGCCTAGACAGCTGTGCTGCAAGGTAGTGCACGAATCTGCAGCAGGAAGGTGGCCGAGTCGAGAGAGACGAGACTGGGGGAGGAAAGAGAGGCTTGGAAAAGCCAAGTGACGTGCCGAGCGTCTCCTAATGAGTCCATAGCAGAAGCAAGGCTATACCCAGGTCTTGGAGCTCTTCTTTGAGGTCTGCTGCCCTTCAAGGACCCAGCAAACATCGCTGGCAAAGCGGTGCCCAGGAAAGCCAGTGCCCTGGGAGGGTGGCTTTGCACACTGAGATCTCCAAGGAGCCCAGGAGAGCTGGGCGACTTCCCTCCACGTGACCAGCACGGGAATCTCAAGTGCAGGCCTGGGCTCACCTGGAGACCTTGACCATTGAGGCCTGCCTCTATAAACCCCTACCCCTCCTTTTTTAAAAAAAAAAAAAAAAAAAAAAAAAAAAAAAAAAAAAAAAAAACCTTGGCTTCAGCTCTTTCCCATCTTGCTTTAATAAGGGGAAGAAAGTTCCTCTGTGGACATGAAAAGGTTACAAAGGGTTTGTGAAACAGGAATCGTGTTCCCCTTAGTCATGGCAACAACTGCCCTGTGCTTGCATGGGGGGTCTGCTTCGTGCCTCGGTCGCTTCGCGGCATGCTCCACTGCCGGAGTGAGTTTAGCGTGGTTCCTGACGGCATGCTTGTTCCCAGCTCCTTTGGTAGCATTTAAACCTGACGCTGCCTCCTTTTTCCGCGCGTGCCCTAAGTCTGCTGGGTGGGTCATGAGCTTTCCCAGGCAGGGACTCTGTTCTTCGCTCGAGAGCCTCCTCCGCATCTTTCCGCAGGCTACGCAAGAGCCCGTTCCTCCCACCACGCGCTTGTTTCCTACCCCGCTAGCTTGGTGCACGGCTGTAGCGGTTGTAAGCGAAGCAGGGCCCGTGACCCACTGGGATTTCCGGGCTGGAGGCTGCAGAGCTGTGCCGTGTCCCTGCAGAGAGGCCACTTGCCCCAGCAGCTCTCCACGTAACGCATCTGCCTGACCAAAGCCAGGAAGCACAGCGGGACCTGCTAGCAGAGGCAGCCTCTCAAAGGATGGTTCAGTCACTCTCACGCACGCCCTGGGAACTCGACTGTGCTCCGGGCAGGAGGGAAACTCCCTCATAACTCGAGTTAAACGTGGCATGGTGGCACGCACTGATGAAAGCTGGGATGCTCCTGTGCTCCTCGCTGCTGGCTGCAGAGCGTCCTGCGGGCAGGGGGAGCAAAGCGGACGTGCCTGTATGCAGCAGCCACCAGGCAACGCAAGGAGGGTGAAAGCCCTGCAGTGTTCGGTGTATGGCCGAGAGCTCGGGGGATGTCCTTCCAGGTCACCCCCTCTTTGGGTGCATCTCCTGTGCCTGCATTTGTTGGAGAGTTTCCCCATGTCAAGAGGCGTTTTTCCTTCCTTTCCTCTCTTGCTGCATCCCAAACCCTGAAAATAGCACTCAGACCACATATGCTGTACTTCCTCCAGCTGCACTTTGTCTCCAGGCAAATGTGTTAAAAGCCTAGGGTGATCTCAGCTCCCTTTGGGAACCTCTCCATCCACTTTCCCCCACCCCCAGGGTGTTGCCTGCATAGGATGTCCCGTGTCTGGATGTTTTCATGCCATCGCAGAGCAGGCAAAACTCTGTTAAGTGTCCTTTTATTTATTTACTTACTGTAATGAACACTCTGAAGCCTTGAAGATCTCCTTTTGGCCTAAAGGCCCGGATTTGGTACTTTCTCCCCAGCTGCGGCATGTGTCCCCTGTGACCCGCAGCAATAAATCAGGAGCGCTGTTGTTGCTTTTGCAGTGGATGCCACGGGCTGGAAGAGGCTGCTGCTAGACGCGAGAGCTCCCTTCCTTCTCGCCCCAGAGCTGACGTCCATGCTAATCTCCGCTAGGCTAAAAATGGGTCAGGGCTGAGCTCCTGCGCTGGAAAGCCTTTGGGTCTTGAGCTGAAGCAACTCGTCTTAATCAATGCCCCTGTGTTGATTTATGCCCATGGAGGAGCTGTCCCCAGCCCGCTCCTTGCCGGAGCCCGGTGCTTCCCGCACAATGTTCCTGTGATTCATGGGCTGGGCCCAAATTCCTGGGCCGTGACCAGCCTCTCGCACACAGAAAATTGCTTGAATCCAAAGTTTGCTCAAAAAGGCAAAACAAAACCCCAAAAATGTAACACCTGCATTTCAGCTCGAATTCCATCTACAAACAGCGTTCAGGCCTATTTCCCCTGGAATATTTTCACTGTGGGTTTTGATTTGGGCCAGAGTTCAGAGCATTCGTGGTTTCTCCTCATTCCTGAGATGTGAGATGATCTTTGTAAAGCACATGGCAGGGAAGGAATTAGCTAAGTAAGAGGGGGCTTCGTTTGCAGGGCCGGTGGCAGCTTTTACCCCGGCTGGTGCTGGCTCTCCCGTGCTCCCCTTTGTGCAGCAGCCACCCAGAAGCACGTGTGAGCTTGCACCTGGGATCACACTGGCCGTCTCCGGTCTGCTCTGCCGCTCACTGCTCTTGAAGGCTGAAACACCTAGACGGTCTGCGGCACAGGGCAGCTTCCCCGAAGGGCCACACATCCTGTGACTCCCATTGGCACAGCTGATTAGTGCTGGAGAATGGCTGTGCACCAGCTCGGAGCCCGGTTCAGGCCTGAGGAGCGCAGAGCACCTGGTTTGCAAGCTTGCAAGGATCATTGCTAGTCCCCATGTGTCTGGCATCCCCAATTTGAACAAGAGCAGTCTACAGGGATGCCTCCTGCAGAGGCCAAGCCAGCACCTGGGAGGCTTTTGATGGGATGGTGGTACCTGGTCACCTGGGCAGAATGAGCTGATAAGTTTAGCTGCCTGTTAGGTATCTTGGAGCACTGTTCCTGGGCAACTTTTGGGCACTAGGAGATGAACTGCTGCCTGATCCATGCCCCTCAGCCCCGGGGCGGGCTGGCTTCCCCAGCTGGGTTCATAGCAGGTTCTTCTGCCTGCGGCCTCCCAGGAAGGGTCGCTCGGACACTTGCATCTCTCTTGCTGCTGCTCAGGGCCTGGAGGCCTGCGAAGGAGCCTTGAGGTTGTCCCGGGGAGCTTGGGATCACTTTTGTCCCTTTGCTCGGGGAAGGCAAGGGGCGCTGTGTCCCTTCAGGCCCTCTCCCGGCCAAGGTGATGGTGACTCTGAGGGGAAGGGCTGTCCTTGCCTTCGGGAGCGCGTTTCGCCCAACGTTTCAGCCACTGACTCAGCGGAAGGAGCTGAGCCCCAAGGAGAGCCGGGGGGAGAAGTCCCTCGTCTCCCCCGGCTCCCTGGGCTGTTGGAAGGGAGGAGGCGAAGATGGGCTCCTGCGCACCCGCTGCCGCCCGCCTCGGCGCCGGGAGCCCAACCCAAACGCGCTGGGCGCTGTTTGTTTAAAGCGC